TAGATGAACGTGATATAAGCGTCATAGTCGTAGACATAAAATAAAGCAGAGAAAAACGTAAACGTAAATTATGAAAGATTATTAGCCCTATGTTTACGTTTTTCTTTGCCTTACTTTATGTCAACGATTACGACGCTTACGTCTCGTTCTCTCTTTTAGCCCTAATTCCTCATGTATTCTCAAAGTGTTCTAGGAATTAAATTGCGAAGTATTCGCTATAATGAAGTCCTAAGGAATATTTCAAGACGAACTTACTGTAATTAATTCTTCAAGAATTATTCGGGTATTCATTTTTCTAATTCTATATCTTTTCTTTAAAATGAGTTCTCTAGGAACTTTTGTTCATCTCTATGCTATCTGGGATGGAATGTTAATGGAATGAGTTAGGACGAACATTTTCATGTTACTGGGAGATTCATGGTAGGTATATTAATCTCAGTGTAATGTTAATTAAAATCTCAGTGTAATATCTTACATTTTAATGTTACTGTAACCTTATTGTAATGTTGATGTGCTGTGTGGGATGTAAATGAACAATATTCTAATAATCACATATAATAAATAATTTAATAATTCTCTGTACCTATGTGCTTATATCCAATGCTGATATTCGTCTAGGTTCATTTATGTATTCAAACACAAAACTCTCACAGCACATTAATATTGCTATAAGATTACAACAACCTTAAATTATAAGGTGGTAACATCCCAGTAAGCAATCTGCGCGCAGACTGACGTCAGACTGTCGACAGGATCTGCCGAATCCGAGCAGGATCTGTCAACAGATCCATAGACATCTGCGTCCACAATCTGCCGCCAGACTGTTGATAGGGTCTGCGAACAGACTCTGACGACAGATTGGCGGCAGGTTGCGCGCAGATCCTGTCGTTTTGTAGGTTCTTCAATTAAACTTTCTCATAATTTTTCATAATTACTCATAGAATAAGCGCTTTCTCATAAATACTCATAAAATATTATGAAAAAAAAAATTTTTCTATATTATTTGTTCATAATTTTTAAGATTTTCTGTGGTGAGATTCGAACTTGAACTGAATACATTTTTTGGATAATCGTCCGTCGCTTTAGACACTACGCCAATTCCTCACTTGATAAAAAGCGCTTTGTATTGCCCACTTAAAGTTTAAAGAAGAAAAATCTTATAGTTTGTTCGCCTTCCCTTATAGAAATATCATACTAAGAATCATTGATAATCCAGTATTTTTAATACTGAAAATAAGTAATTATCAATGATTCTTAGTATAATATTTCTATAAGGGTTTTAAACTGCAAAATATAGACAAAACCGTTTAGCGTATAAATAATGTAAGAAAGACCGGCACGATAATTCGAAATTAATTTTCTACCAAGGACTGTATAGAAAATTACTACAATAAAACAGCAGATAATGACATTTTTCCATCCTGTTAATAAAATACTGTACTTTTACATGTGCGAATTAATTTGGTCGATCGTCCCGTTCAGATCGTATTAAGTTTTATCAAAATCGAAGCATGATATATTTTTAAATAAACCATCAAAAAAATTCTGTAAAAGTTATTTACATAGCGAGACTAATATTTTATTCGGTGCTGCTGCCTTCAATACTTATTGCATGACGGTTAAATCGTTCAGATTTAATGACATAACAACATTAAAAAAAGTAATAAGATAAGAAATTGTATAAAAAATTATGAGAACAATTTTTACCAGGGATGACGTATGTACGCTTTTAAATGGTCATTTAACCGTTGTACTATTCTATACTTGTACTCATTATTTCTCTATTATTGTTGGTTTTTTATAAAAAATATGTAATACAATTTTAAAATGTAAACATTGTTTTTTATTGTGTATATATGTACAATTATTGCACAATATAATTATCTTGACTTCTCTGCAGCAGTTTTACATGGTGTGTATGTGAAACTGCCTCATTTAATAACGTACATATGGCCCTTGATAGAATTAAATAGCCTATCTAGGAAACAGAATCTGCGCGTCAGTCTGTCGTCAGAAACTGCTAAAACAGTTTCTGTGTGCAGTCAACAGACACTATTGACAGACTCTGCGTAAAATCTGCTCGTACAGGTTTGGCTATCTGAGATTACACGGAGGTTAAATAAACCTGTCACTAACCTACCTAGTAACATGAAAATGTTCGCCCATGCTCATTCCATTAACATTACAGAAATCTTATACGGAATGTTATATTAAAGTTAATATAGTATGCCTAGAACCTTTCAATATTTTTAATAAAAAATTCATGATAAAGAAATATTATTTATATTCAGCTTAGTCAATTTATATTGATTTTAAATGAAATTTAGCTCTCTTATTTACCTCTTTTATTTAATTTCTCACTATTTTCACACCTGAAAATTTACTCAGTAGTCGGACACGAACTCGAAACCTCAGATACCTCTAGGTTCCTAGTCTATTATCTTGACTGCTGCGCTATTTTTTCAACTGATACTAAGCATTTTTATTATCCTCTTATGCAGCCAAAGCAGTAATTATAATTTTCTTATAATATTATTTAATACAACTACAAAAGTAAACTATGTAGTTCAAATATTTCATATAATAAAAGAAAAGTCAAAGATATACATAAAACTAAAGCATTTGAAGCGGCTATTGAATACAACCTAGAGTTAATTTTATTATTAATATTTTAATTTAATTTAATTATATTTGTTTTCTTAATAAAAAAAATTTTATATATAAAAAAAGTTGTATTAGAGTGGGATCCGATTGACCACGATACGATTGGACACAGATTATAATGATTGGTTCGATCTGGTAATTCATTAGATAATTCTTTTCATTGATTGGTGGTGTCCAATTGTATTGTAGTCAATCGGAACGCTCCCAAATAATTACATGTAAGTTTGCTGAAATATTAAACATTATATAACTTTATGACAATATTATAATGTAAGGTTATCTTATAAAGTTAATGGCAGATTGCAGTAACATGCTCATTAATATGTGTAAAGGTCATCACACACAAAATTCCATAAGAACTTAAATCGTAAACGTAAGAAAATCGACCAATCCCAGTCGAGTATTCGGCTTTTTGTAATAATGGAGGGGTTACGCCCTTAAGCCTATTCTACAATTGCGTGAACGTGGTTGTAAGTAGTTGTAAGTGATTACGACAACCAATCAGAGTAAAGTAATCAGTGAATAAAACATTCGGATTGGTTGACTCTTACGTTCACGACTACGCTTACGCAATTGTAGAATGGGCTTTATAGAAATATCATACTAAGAATCATTGATAATTACTTATTTTCAGTATTAAAAATACTGGATAATAAGTAATTATCAATGATTCTTAGTATGATATTTCTATAAGGGCTATACATTTTAGAAATAAAATACATGCAATTCATTGACATACTTTTTCCTTTCTTCCCTCCGTAAAGGATCCTTTACTAATTAGCTTCTTGTGGCATAAATCTCTTCCAAACTTTGAGGATAATGACAATTTGTGATACACTCTTTACTATAATTTTCAGTTTTTTACCTAAATTTCGTATGTGATATTTGTTTTCGCATAGTCGGATCCACTTGATACCAAACGTTCAATATTTATCGCATATGAGTATCGCGAAAATTCGAGAATACAAATTTATCGAAAAACGTAATATTCTAGTGACGTTCATGAAATATCGTATGCGATATTATTCGAGAAGCAGGCCTCTGATACATTAACCCAGCTAACCGTTAAAGACGTCATTATGACGTTATTAAGACGTCATGTGATGTTACTTTGTTAGCTGTGTCATATATTGAACATTGGCAATCCATCTTTTTGACGTAATAAAAATGACGTATTATTTTAGCATCTATAATCACGTCAAAATTATGTTTCATTTAGGTTACATTACGTCATCAACATCAAAATCATATAGTTTTTACGACATTTCGACGTCTTCTTGTTGGCTGGTACGTAATATAACGGATGTTATACGTTATTAATGTTAAGATTACATAGTTCCCTTACAGCACAGAAGTTTCAAAAAGCTTTCAGAAAGATTTCAGGAAGATCTCAGAAAGGTTCAATGTTTCTGGAATATTTCTGAAAGCTTTTTGAAACTTCTGTGCTGTGTAGGTTTTCTTTTATAACTGCAATTTATGTTTTAGAACTGTTATAATTCTCTGTTATTTACCGGTTATTATTGTATAATATCAATATAACTAAAATATAATCGGTTTATTATAGGTTATAAAATATAACAAGTGTTTTTTTTGCACACTATGAATGTATAATATTCTTATATTTAGGTATCAAGTTATTCGCTAGATGGCTCCTGTTCTCTTTCTCGTACGTAAAATATATTGCATTAATATAGAAATAATTCTTGTACGTAAAATATGATGCATTAATTTAGGAATTACACTAAGAAATCTTACATTCATTTATAATAAAATAAATTAAAATATAGTCTAAAACTAAGATTAAGATATAGTTTTAAATTTATTTCTTAAATTAATTATAATAAAGAGAATAAATGATTACAGTAAATATATTTTTACTTAAATTGTGAAATTATTCAGAAATTAAACTCGTAATCAAGTGTTTGCTGAAACGTACACTATTATAAACATTTATTTCTTTTTTATATATTTCAACAAATTTTTTCTAACACATTTTTTAAAATAGTATGTTATATAATGTACACTTTCCATACAGCACAAATCTCTAAAAGATTTCTTAAAGAGTTCCAAGAATTCCCAAGTCTTCCAGAACATTTTTAGAATTCTTTAAGAAGTCTTTTAGAGATTTGCGTTATATGGATTCTATATATACATTGTTATCAAGGAAACAAAATTACATTTTTTCTTACAATAAAGCTAGTTAATCTATTTGATATAATATAATAATCTGTCTAATATAAAACTAATACTTCTTAATCCATTTAATATTTTTTTCATCATTCACTCATTGCAGCAAATAAAGGAGAAACAAATGAAAACAACTACCTACACACAAATATAAAATGATTCAAATATATATTTATAACATAATGACATATACTAAGGTTGATTAAAGAATCTCAGGCATTATTTATTGACAAAATATTTTAGATTCTGAGTCATTTCCATTGTTTGCTAAATGTCGCTTCTTTGAAATTGCCTAAATGCAATGGTTCCAGTGCATACTTCACTCTTTCACAAATGTTTCTTTTGGAATAGATTTAAATTCTGCTCGCAAATCTTCAATTACGCTTTGCCGACTCTTGTCACGACCCATGTCTTATTATCGATCACAAAAATTTTCAAAAAATCGTCATTAGATTTTGTTTCTTCAAAAAGATTCTTTGGAATTTCCGTATGTGCTTCTTTCCGCTTTAAAGTCAAAATTCGTGGCACAAATTTAGAAACATTTTGATGATGTCCAAGGTTTTGCGGAATGCTCGGACACGAACCAAATGAAATGTTTAGTCCTTTAGTAATCCCTCGAATTGTTAAGCGGCGATCGGAACATATCAATTCGCGCACTTTACATTGTTTCTGTTCAATGGTGGAGGTTGAGGGCCGTCCTGAACGAGAATCGTCCTCAACCGAAATTTGATCTTCTCGAAAGCGTTTATGCCGTTCAAAAATCTTTGATTGAGTCATCGCATTTTCACCAAATGCTTGCCGAATCATCGCGATAGTCTCTGCATCAGTTTTTCCTAATTTGACACAAAAACGAATACAAATTCGTTGTTCTTTCAAATCAGCCATTTTCTATTTTTGTAAAAATCTCAAAATAAAATCAAAACACTTCTCGACATTTAAGCATGCATAGAACAATTATCAAGGCAAGCAAATTCACATGTGCGTTTGTGCCAGAAACAAGGGCCCATTATAAAGTTGTTTTCCAACAAGAGACACAAGTCGACACAAATATCATCCTATCTTTGGGTGCTTTCCAATTGCTTAACACATCTTGACACATATGTATACAGAAATGCACAAAGTATAACGTTGTGCACGATTACATTAATCAAGGTTACACGACATTTTCTCGAAAACTACATGGAAAAATGTTGGTACCGATAAAGACCTCTAAGCAACACAATTTTATAGCGTGTTCGACTGGCCCTGGGCTAATCGCTCCGAGAGCGATTAATGACGTCATAGTCTCTCCTAGCCAATTATAAATACTTGTTTGACCAATAAACGTAGACTGAATAACCCAGAGTGGGTTAACCCAGAGCCAGTCAAAAATGCTATAAGATTATCTAATAAAAAGTTACTATTTAGTACGCGTATCAAGTGCACGATGTAAACCAAGACCGTAACATAAAGGGACGTCTACATTGGAAGTAAATAGCAAGAAGTAGGAAGTAAGAGTAAGAAATTGACCAACCACAGTCAAATGTGAGAAGAATAATCAACTATGATTGGTCAATTTCTTATTCTTACTTCCTACTTCTTACTGCTTACTTCCAATGTAGGCTGCGTTTCGAAATTCACTGCCAGTACTGAAATTCTATAATATACGTAACATAAACTATAGATTTTCAGTACTGGCAGTGCATTTCGGAACGCAGCCGTAGACGTCCTTCAGACATATCATAAGGGCCGTGGCACACAGAAAAACTTAAGCAGTAAGACATAAGCAGTAAGCAAATTGACACTCGTTGATTCTTGGACCGTAAGAAAAATCAATGACTGTGATTAGTCAATTTACTTACTGATTACGTTTCACTGCTTAAGTTTTTTTGTGTGCCACTAGCCTAAGGGCCGTGGCGCACAGAAAAACTTAAGCAGTAAGACATAGGCAGTAAGCAAATTGACCAAAGACAGTCGTTGATTCTTGGAGCGTAAGAAGAATCAATGACTGTGATTGGTCAATTTGCTTACTGCTTACGTTTTATTGCTTAAGTTTTTTTATGTGCCACCAGCTTAAGGGCTTCCACACACAAATTGACATAACAGTAACGTAAGACATACCGTAAGAACTGACCAATTACGATCGAGTATTCATCAAAATGGCGACCTCACGATTCGATAATTTTCAATGTAATTGGTCAATTCTTACGGTACGTCTTACGTTACTGTTATATCAATTTGTGTATGAAGGCCTTAAGAATTGACCAATCACTTTGAGTATTGTCGAACCATAAGGTTGCCATTTTTGTGAATACTCGATTGTAATTGGTCCATTTTTACAGTACATCTTACGTTACTGTTATGTCAATTCGTGTGCGGCGCCCCTCAGCCACTTTTAGAGGCACTTTTAGACTGAGTTCCCACTGGGAGCGGTGCACTTGGACACGGTGCATTTGGACACAGCCAATCACAGCACCATGTGATTAGAGACATTTGTAGGGTCCCTTGGAACAGCGACTTGTGATTGGACTGTGTCCAATTACCCCGTGTCCAACTAATATACACCCCGTCTTTTCGACGTCGATAAATAAGTCATTTCTCACTGAGATCGCGCGCGTTTTGCATAAAAAATTTATTTTAAGTGGAAACGTCAGTTTTTTTTAGATTTCCTATTCAATTATAGTATTACAAAGATAGAAATGTCAGATTACTCGAAAAACATTAAACTGGAAGGAATGATCGAAGTCATTTTGCAAATAACTACATAAATTTTAGAGATATTAAATAAAATAAACAGGCGAATCAACGCATGTATTTGCTAAGTACGTTATAATATACTGTGAACACAGTAAGTATACATTTTATAAGCATAAATTGTAAGAACATCATTGAGGTCATTGGAGCACCACTGATTGATCGTCAGGTTAAGCAACGTAGTCAGGATGGATGGATGACCATTTCGAATTCGAAATTATCGAGGCAGGATTCGCGAAAGTTTTAACGTGTGTTTGACAATCTTCGGTTTCTAGCAGTTTATAAGACATAAAGAAAATTAGGAATTAGTTATTTTTATGAAACAACTAGTGAGAAATGACTTATTGATCGACGTTGTAATGACAGTCTATTAGACATTTAAATGTGAACCGTTTTTAGGTCGATATAGATCTTTATTTAGATTAGACGCAACCTTTCTCGCTGGGTATCGCAGATTGCGCGTATCGAACATTTGACTAATCGCAGACATTCCTCTGTTTTTGATACGTGCAGTTTCATTCCCATAATCCCATGGAGCGGAATTCGTGTAAGCGTATTAGGCAAATAGCCATTCACGAGACGATTTCTTTATTTCCTTCTCCTAAACAGTTTTGTGATTGACAAACTGCCGATCCTCTTACAATAATTCCGTTCCATAGTACCATAGGACAAAACTCTCGAGTACCGAAAACAGCGAATAGTCTGACGTTGGATCGTAGTAAAGAGCAAGTGGAAAAATATTCTATATGTATAATTAAAATGAATTTTATTGAATTTATTAATTTATTTAGTATAATTAAATAAAATTTTACAATTTGCTTAACAGGTGCAGAATGAAATCGGAAACGATATTGCTATTAATTGTGTTATTAATAATATATATATATATATATATATATATATATATATATATATACACACGTAAATAATGTGTATTACACAGGATTGAGTAAGTTACATTTTTTAAAACTAATTTAAGTTAAAAGTTAATGACCTAAAAATTAACTAAGTTTATGTTAAAAGTTCTTAAATTTTTTAACTTAATTTTTTAACTTAATCTGATTAACTTATTGTCAAACTCTTGTATTACAAGTGACTTTTGTTAAGTTGCAATAAAATAAAAAGTCAAATTTTAAACCAGAAAGAATTATCTATATTTGTAACAGAATTGAATACTATTACAAATAATTATTATCCTTAAAATATTTAAGTATTAATAATTACTTATAAATGCTGCATTGTTGTCGTCAACGTGTATCACATGTTTTTCATCATTAAAATATTGGAAACATGAATGTGTAATACACCAACATTTAAAAATCCATTTATTCTTCACCCGCAATATCCACATTTAACTGACCGTATGAAAAAGAAAAGAACATTAAACACAATAATTTGTAATTCATAATGAAATATATTAAACCAAAATAATGTGTGCAAATTAAACAAAAATATGCTTCATGAAATTCTAAACTAACCTTCAAATATTATTATAAAAAATAATGTACATACAATCACAAACATTACAAAAATAATATTTTAAAATGCTATAGATACTCACAGGATTTATATTTTCTTTATTTGTGATATCCACTTGTTAAAAAAAAATGCATAAAGACTAAAATCTTTGTTACATTGTGGCACTTCTACGATCAGATTCTTCGATTGGCAATCAAGATATTTGCGTATTGCGGAAAATAATAGATTCGGCGGAAGGGCAGCATATCGAAAGCAGCGAAACATCTGCGATTGGTCAAATGTTCGATACGCGCAATCCGCGATACGCACAATACGCTCCATAAAGGCCTTCACACACACTTTTCGTAACAGGAACCGTAAGACGTAACGTAAGAATTGACTAATTACGATGGAGTATTTACAAAAATGGCGACCTTATGTTTCGACGATTCTCAACGTGATTGGTCAATTCTTACGTTACGTCTTACGGTTACTGTTACGGAAAGTGTGTGTGAAGGCCTTAAGACTACACCCTAAGGGTGCCTCCCCATGCGGCGTAACTTACAAGGCGTAAATTGCGCCAACCAATCACATCATCTCCTTTAAGTACCAGTTTCCATCAAATTATTTTGTGCTCTACGCTATTTTCGTTACGCTAAATTCAATTTTTGGCTGTATTAGTAAGCGTATCTTTTAGTCGTTTGAACTAAAAGGTGTGATAATGTGGATATTGTCATATATAAAAAGTTTTGCAAATTAATAATAAGAAATGGATAAGGATCAAATCAGGGTAAGTTAAGAAATAGCTTTATATCGAGTTTATTATATAATGTTGTAATAGCCTTCTGTAATATCTGATTCACTACTCAGGGCATGTCGATACAAAATTTTTTAAGGTTTCATTTGTATATCAATAGAGTACTAGATTTGAGGCTTTCACGGCCATTGATACAATGTCTAGATATAGCTTCCGGAATGGAGCCGTGTCTTGAATCAGCGATATGCCGACGTTTCGCAAACGTTGCAGTTTGCATCATCAGGGCTGAGAACTCTGATACTGAGCTCCCTTGGGTAAAGGTAGTGCTTATATGCCCCCTCCACCCCCCCCCAGCCCTTTGTGTAGATGGTGTTTAGGGAGTAAAGGACGAGGCTTGAATCCAGCCAATCAGCGTATTTTAATTGATCAGCTGGTCAATTAAAAAACCGGGAGGGCAGTATGCCAAATAGAGTTTACTTGCATACCTTTGTCTCGGTTAAGGTTGTTGGGATGTTTCAAAATTTCTAGACCTTCACGATGTTTTCTGGCAAAATAACTCTGTGAGGGAGCCAATCTGGTGGCTTTTTCAAATTGTACGGAGTGTCCAGTCTCCATCCAGTGTTCAGCTAGGGCTGATTGAGTAAAG